AAACTGATGGTCATGTATGCTTCTTGAAGCTCTGCTCACTGGGAGGAATTTGATTTATCACTGTCTTTCAGGACGCCCCCTAGTGAAGCTGTGGCTTCCAAAGAAGCAGGCTTATCCATAGCTCTCCTGATCCCATTGCATCTCCCTGGGGGATCTAGCAGGCAACAAAGAGAGGACTCAAAGATAATAGGGTCAAGCTTTAGCGACAGAGAAAATGATAGTTGGATTTACTTCATTTCCGATGTTTTAATTTAATCTCCAATGTTGACCTAAGAGTTGGAAACCGTAGCTGCCCTGGGAAACACAGGACTTACAATTCCCTTCAATGTCAGAACAGAAAGGAAAAATTGAAAACTAAGCTCCCCTCCCCTATTCAACCTACTTTTCACAAACATACACCCCTGATATTCTCAGTGAAACCACAAGCTGACCCTCTCAGACCTTTCTACTTAATGGATGGTCTATTTGTAACAAGAATTATAGACTGACAACATTTCTGATCAGGCAACTCCAAATTCTGCATTTCCCAACATGCTAATGAACAAGGCTACTTCAGTGGAGATGAAGTTCCTTTGCTCTCTCCTCCAGCTAATTACCTCTATTGCCTGAAAGCAAGCCGCTGAATGCTGGGCCTGTTTCCTTAATTACAAAATGGGGTAATGAATCCCATACTCAGTCTGAGTAGACTTCCTACCAGTTGACATACTTATTGGTTTTCTAATGGTATGGAAGGAGGGTAGGAAATGTGGGAAGATTGTTCATATGCATATTCTTTTTTTTTTCTTTCTTGAGACAGAGTCTCACTCTGTCACCCCAGCTAGAGTGCAATGGTGTCATCATAGCTCACTGCAATCTCCAACTCTTGACCTCAAGCCATCCTCCCTCCATGGACTCCCAGACTGCTAGGATTATAGCCTTGAGCCACCATGCCCAGCCTCATGTGCATATTGTAAGGTATCACTAACTCTAGAAAATAAACACTGGAGGAAGTGGGAGATGGGAGTGAGGAAGGAAGGAAGACTTCTTTTTAAATGTAGGATTTACTTCAATTCACCTTACAATCAAACTGCTTTTGATTTAATAAAAACTTGCCCCCATGGGCCGGGCGCGGTGGCTCACGCCTGTAATCCTAGCACTCTGGGAGGCCGAGGCGGGCCGATCGTTTGAGCTCAGGAGTTCGAAACCAGCCTGAGCAAGAGCGAGACCCCGTCTCTACTAAAAATAGAAAGAA